TCCTTCTACTGATGCTATCTGATAATCAGGATGGGGGACAAGTGTTATGGTATTTGTTGTGGCTATGTTCTGTTTTGTGCCTTATAACCTATTGTCTGTAAAAAAATACCCACCCCCACAAAAACTGACCGTGAATTGAAAGAACCTGCATATTTTGGAAATTGACTGAATATTATCCTAACAGAGCCTGCAAGGACTAGGCTTTTTTTTTTTTATTATCTCACTTCTTCAGAATGGGATCCCTCAAACTGGTGTTTGAGTGCAGGATTTCCTATAGATCTGCAAAATGGCCTTATGGGAAAGAAAACACTACTGAGCAAGAGGAAGAAACGTGGGTGACAAATTCCAGTTGTTAGATGTTTCTCAGAACAATTCTGCCAGAAGAAAATGAAGGAATTTTACTTTTTGTAATTTGGAAACACTTTCTGAAGCTAAGCCCACAAAAATTCCTCCATCTTCACAAGCACCTCTGATTCGAAAGGTACTGTGATTTAGCTGTGATTTGGAAAAACATGTTTTTTTCAGTATTTTCTATTATCATACACTTTCTAGAAACAGGACCTTGGTGAGGAAAACAGTAGTTCATACAGATGAACTAGACATACAGATGTCTAGTCTTTTTACTGAGAATGTAAAAAAATGCAGCAAGTAGTGCCAATTTGACTTGTGTATCTCTTCTTTCTCCCACAACAGACAACTATTAATCATGTAATAAATGCATACAATGCATTCATGTCACTTATGTCTCTCTCTGGGCTTTCCACCTAAATTTATACTGTTTATAGCAAACAGTCAATCTTAAAGAAAAAGAAAAAAAAGTGAAAAAGTCAGCAGGGTTTTTTTTTTTTAACATCTACACACAAAAAAGAGAAATAGATTGAAACTCAGCTGACAACCAGATGTATAAAACACATGCATTTTCAAAGACCATCTCACAGAAGAGCTATTGACTGCTTATCCAGAAGTAATCCCATTCTCTGCAGCTGGCAGTAGATGAATCTAAGTTCTCACTAGCCTCAGAAAAAAATCAGCTCTGTTTCTTACTCTCTCTCCCTGTCTCTTCTGAATTCAACAATATGGGACATATTATCAAATGACACCTAACAAAGAAGACAAATATTTTTAAAAGTTTGACAGACTTATTATTTGCTATGTTGGATTTTCTACCACTGCATGTGTTAAAGTAAAGACCAGATGTTATGAAAATTACATACAATTATAGTTAGATACAAACAAGAATTAGTTCAAAGAATTTCTACTGTGCGAGACAGTTACAAAATAATTATGGTCTCTCTCGGCCATATAATACTATCACAGGTCTTAAAAGGTGCTGCAATAAGTGTGTCTTACAAAATGAGTTTTGAATTTTAGGGCTCAGACTGATGATCAATTACAAATCTGCATGCACTATTATCTGGAATTTATCAAGGGCTAAAATTTTACATGCAGATAGCTACCGTGAATCACCTGCCATGAAATAGTTGGGTGAATGGTTAGTAACTGGGTTATCAGTCTAGTCATCTAGAGAGAATGATAACAGTTTTGTTGAGGGGATAATTGTGCATCATTATTATTAAGAACAAAATGCCAAATATGGAGAGCTAATACAGATAATTAAAAGTTGTTGGCATTTTAAATATTTTTTTTTAAATATTATACATCCTTTGCCTCAAAGTGGGATGAACTTAATATGAGCTGGATTTTATGTTGTTCTTTTTGCAGTACCCAGGTACCCAGTACCTCTTGACCTGCCTGGTGTTTCAAGGTCTGAATCTTTCAAAGACTTCTGCTTGAAGTTAACTTGATGCATTGTTAGTAGTCTTCACTTTGGTGGAGTTTTACCAGAACTGTTGCCTCTGATAGTAGTCTTCCAGGCATTATGGCTATTTGCATGACTTCTTTTTTATTCTAACCCTACATGAACATGAACGCTACATAACATGAAGAGGAAAGAAAGTCCAGACAACTCTCTGTCTTGCTTAGGTTGAATACGGACACAAAACCCCAGAAATGTGGAAATAACACCTGTGGGGGCAATCACCCTGTGCCCCTACAGGCTAACACTCAGCATTCAGCACTGTTAAGAGATGTTTCAGCCTTCCCTAAGGATTTTATTTTCACCTCTAAGAGACAAAGGAAGTCAACATGTATCTCAAATTGAATTTTGTATTGTAGCCCAAAATCATAACATTGAATTCAGATACTTTTATCTGAATAGATCACATACTCAGTGAATTTTTGCTGCTGATTGCTACCATTAGAGACTTGCATTAAAGAGGTTACTGTTACTTCAGTGCCAAATTATGACCCTGTCTTGCACAGGGAGTAAAGGAGCATGGATTTTTCTTCTTTGCTATGCACTTTGCATAGAAAGAAGGATAAATGACATTTCCTTTACCAAGGGAGTACAGGAGCTGTTCTCTCCCTGTATTCAAGACACAAACTACAACAGCAAGAGGTGAGGTCTGCTTCTCTCTGTAGCTGACTGCTTTCTGAGAGAGGGGAAACAATGCACCGTTTTAAGAACCACTTTTCCTTTGTGGGATCTGTCACGGGAAGGCTGCAGCCCTGCACATACATGCAGAGCTCAACAAACTGTGGCAGTCTCGACCTCTTAGTCTGCCCCTTTTCATGTTCCCTTCCCCCACCAAAAGAATTAACAATGGAAAAGCACCAAGAAGTTGTTAGCTTAGGCACAGCAAAATGAAAAAGCATAATTAGCCCCTACAGGTAGTACAATGAAAATGTGGAAACAAATCTCTGTCGCAGAAGGTAGATGAATGAAAGGGTGGTGTGCAGGACCAAGTCATCTGTATGCAACCTAAAGTAATTAGATTGGTGTTTTGACCAACTCTGGCTGCAAGAGGCATTAAGGACACCCATGTGTTAGTCTAATTGAGGCTGAGTCAGCATTTCTTCTGCAAACATTTACTGTATTTTAAAAGCCTGGTGGTTGCAGCTGTCTGTCTGGGTTAAAACCTTAGATACAGGTCTTGGCACAAGAGCTCATCCTCTGAACAAATGAACACCCCAATTACTGTGGGACTAGGAGGAGCATCTTTCTGACTTAGTACCAAGGAGGTGGATGTTGGCTTGGGCCCCTCCTCAGAGCACAATGCTCTGACCTCTGTCTGAAGCCCTCCTTTGAGGTGGAGGAAATACAGCAGTAAAAGGCAAAGGTAGCACAGAGGTGGGGACAAATTTTTATATTTTCTATCCCTATAACTTGCAAAAAATAATTCAAGTACATTACAGGCAAACTTCTGGGATGTTCTGGGAAGAGGCTAAGTCTATTTGCTCAGATTAGACTTCCCAAGAGGAATCAGTTTAGCAACAAAGTCACATACAATGGCTATGTGGAGGTAATGTTGATTTACACAGTGGCCACCAGTCCGCTCATCTAGAAACAAACCCAAACCCAAAACATAAACATAATGCTTCCTCCTAGGTAGACATCCCCAAATATCCTAAAAGTGCCAACACAGTTCTTAAGATCATGACAAGAACTACGAAAGTAAGATTTATTATTTTGTGGCAATTACTATTAATATAACTGCTACCATTGTCTTTTATTTGCTTCCTGGATTTTTATACTTTCAAGTTTGCTCCTCAGCCACAATGGCATGCAACTTCTTTTTTAATCTTAAAGTTGAGATTTTCAGGTAACCACTTCATTACGAGAGTGGAGGCCTCGAAAAACCAACTCAATAGGACAAGTTACAAAGTGGAGTAATGAAAGGTAATAACAGAAGTGACTGAATTTGATAATGAATTTGGACATTTCAAAGCATGCAAACCGAGAGCACTCCCCCCCCCCCCCCGAATTTGACCACCATTTAACTTATTTTTCAATAATTTTGAGTTGGTAGAAAATAGAAATGGCAAGAAATTAATTAAAAATATACTCAGACAAACCAAAGTTACCTTATGCTACGGAAACTGAGACAAATCTCAATCCTACTTATGCTGATTTGTTGAGTTTCTCTGTTCATAACTGACACATTTCCTTTGTTTGCTAACTTTAATTCACACTTCAGAACTTGAAGTAGTTTTTTGACCTCCAGTCAATACAACAATTTGGAAGCTACTGATAATTACATGGTAGAATTAACCCTTAAATGGTCATTTTACATGGGATCTTTTGTCTGCAGTTTATGTTCTTGGTAGCATGAAGCATGGTGTTCTGAACAAAGACAAATGAGAATGAAGAGACATAAAGAATATACAGTTCTGAAGAAAAACAGGGAGTGAGAATGTTAGAAAACTTAGGAAAGTTTTAAAGAAAGAAGCTAAACGGAAAAAAGTGCATGAAAAGTGAACTTCAGACACAAGTAAAATACAGATACTTACCTTTAATATATCTATAATGGTCTACATTTTACAAAAAAATGATACTTTTTTTTTCAGAATGTCACATTTAAAAATAAGTTTTTAGAGAGATGAGTTAATCATTTTAAGATATAAACCATATAATGCTTTAAGTAGCTATGAGACCATGAAGACAATAGCTGTAATAAGCAAATCAGTGCAGTGATCTATAACTAGGCTAAAAATGTTATATTTTTCTATTTTATGAATTTGATTTGATTTCTGTTATTGAAGTATCACAAAATCTTTATTTTAAAAGAAACTATCAATTATTCATTCAGGGGCTTAGACAAGTGGTATAGACAATATTTGAAATGGATTCTGACTGAAAGATCAGTGAAAACAAAATAATAAACCAGCTACCTTTCAATGCAACATTTAGCTCCTACGTGTCTTGTAGTATAAATTTTTGTTAGTCAATAGAGGCAAAACATATGTCTTAGTATTTTTTAAGAAGGGAGATATTCACAACTGCTGACTTTATTGACTAATAACTACTTTTTCTAAGCTTAGGTATAGTAAATAACCATAATGTTGAAACAGCATGTTTATGCTCAACATAATCCCATAAATTATATTGTATGGTAGTTGAATATATAAATATCCATGGAAATATATGTATTCCTACTTACCCAACGGACAGGAAAGGCTCCTTTGATTCAAGTCTGTCAAGTAAATAACAGAAGCTTTAAATATATATATATATATTTATTGTATTTCAGAACATTTATATGATGAATTTAAAACAACCACTCTCAGTATCAAATTTACGTGGTGACCAATACACCATTTAACAACAATAGAAGGGCCTGATCCATTATGCTAGGAGCTTAACTCGAAAAAAATCCCATTCACTTAACTTAAATTAGGTTTAGTAAATAAATATTTACAAAGCAGTACATCTAGACCCTTTAAATGTCACAGATTCAGATGACTTGTGTAGGTATTTACATGGAAAAGCTAGAGTGAACAAGTAACACTTTGTCCTTTTTTTTGCATTTTTCATGCAAAATGTTTTTTTCTTGATGGCCATGATTTAGGGAAGATATAAAATCTTTTTTTTTTTTTTTTTAACTTTAAACATAAAATTTACTATGGGTGTAAGAACTTTCCTGATCTGAGGGCCTCCACACCCATTTTGTTTGCTTTCCAACATCCTCTATTCATATGACATGGTCACTTCTTTGTCATGAGAACTTGTGGCACATCTGCCACAATCAGCCTTGTGCTGGAGCTGGATGCCACTAGTTTGGTAGGCCCGGAATCATGCCCAGTTCTAAAATCAGTTGTTAAAAGTGTTGTTCTCCAACTCCTTGCTGTTACTGCTGTCTCTGTGAGGAGCTGCACCACTTGCACACTGACAGGAGCCTCTTCCACTAGCAGTTTCCACCCAATCAGGATAGATTTAAAAATCCTCATCTATGTTATTATACTGTATTTCTGCTCCAGTGCCTGCAACTGGCTGTCCTTAATTTTGTAGTGTGTCCTGGCTGCAATGAGTTTACTAATATCAGCTGCTTGTTAGGACCATTAGCATGTGAGTTTAGGGTCCTTTATAAACATATTTAAAGCAAATTTACAACTCAATTATTTTGAGAGGTTATATGACATGCAAATGTTACAAAAGTTCTCTATTGTGCTAATTTTCACTGAGAGTATTGTGTTAGGAAGAACAGCAAATAAAAAACCCTAGGTACTTAATGTCTCTTTGTAGCCTTTAAAAAACATGTTTCTAACAAAGTGAAGTATGTCATATCTGGAACTGAACATTTCATTTGTGGTGACCCCTCCCATCCGAAACCAATTCTGTCCCACAACAAAATATCTGAAATAGAACTGTAAACAACAGGACTAATTGTAAATAAAAGGACTGTAATGATTTTTCAATGTTTTAAGAATGAACCTTTCCTGCAAGTCATCTTTGTAGAAAAACCAACAGGTACATTTGCAGTAGTTATTCATTTAGCAAAGGTTTTGTCTAAAAAGTTCACAAACCAATAGACCAGTTTAGTTATTGCCATCTATCTACAAGGGTATTTTCAAAAGGTGAACTTGTCACTGTATAATCTTTTGAAAAGATTATATGATTTTGTCTGTAATTAAAAAATACTGCATGTCATCTTTTTGCAAAACATTTACTTCTTTTCCAGAATCACTAGTGGAAATAACTTAGGGGCCTGTCTTCTTTTACAATGTCGTCTTCCAATGTGTTTTAAACCTAACTTCCTAGGGTTAGATTTCCAGCAGTGGTAAGAACAACTTTCATAAGGCTTGAGGAAAGGCCAAAATGTATCCAAAACATAGTAACTTTTCTGTTGTCTTCATGGCTATACCTCACCTTTCCATTTCTTTCTGGGATTGTGATCCACATGGAAGTAAAAGAATAGAAGAGGGGATCACTGATGGACTTGCATGTACCTGGAAGCACAGTGGAAGCCCAAAGGTGAGTATCCCTGCGCTTAGGGGGATGCTTCTCCAGGGCAGTCCCAGTGCTATCACGAATGCTTTCCCTCCCAGACTGCCATGCCGCACACCGAAACTCTCACAGCACTAAGAAAATGCTTAGCTTGGCATCCTCTGTGCTTAAGCAGTACTGCCAGAGAGCAATGAAGTGACGGGGCCCTTCGTGTGCAGGGTTGCATCCTTCTCCTGCAGGCTCTGTGCAGCCACTGCGCCAGCTTCATGGAGCAGCTCTTCCTGCTGTGGATCACACCATTACAGGAAAACATCTGCACCGTCTTTACAGCTTCTCTCTGATGTATGAGGAAAAGCCCAACTAGTAGGATGGTTTTGTTCCTGTTTTTCTGCTTAATGAAATGACTGGGAAGTACCCAGTGTTTAGCTCGAGAAACTAACTATAATCAAAACAAGCCAAAAATGAAAGCCTCAGAACATATTTACATACTTCATAATACAGAAATTTTGTAATGAAGAGAGACCTGGCACTATCCTGATGGAGGATTTTCTGGTGGATTTTACTTGCAAACAAAAAGTGTGTGATAGAATGCCCTGTAGACAAAATACTGCAATTAAAAATCTATTTGAAATCCATTCTCAAGATGGAATTCTTGATTGAATGGTTTAAATAGTGCTGCCCTAGGTTTGACCCCTCTCTGGTATATTTGACTAAATGATTTTAGATAATTTGCTACATTACTTTAAATTAGTTCAAGTGTTCCTCATAGTAAAGGAATACAATTATCTGTTGGCCTTTTATTTAAATTGATAATTCAGTATATAGCAAATTAATATAAAGGTTTTAAAACTGCAACACCATATAAAATAACATCCTATATCATCTTTACTGGTGACATTTATCAATATATATTATAGATTTTTTACCTTTCTTTTCTAGCTTGCAGTACACCAAATTCTCCAGAGTTTTGAGGAAGTCTCACATAATTAAATATGATATCTCAGAAAGAGTAATCCTGATAAGCTGTGAGAAGGGCTGTCACACACCTTCAGGAAAAATGTTAAAACAGAAGTTTTCTTTCTTGCAAAAATGTATTAGGTGTGCAAGAACTACTAGGCTGGACAGTAAACAAAGGGAATAATGTTTTAATTATGTAGGAATGGTAATGAAGCTGGAGTGATCAGGATTTTTTTTTCTTTCCTGAAATGATTTTCCCATCAGAAAATTTCAGTTTGTCAAAATGTCAAGGCAATATCAATTTGAATAGGAGGGAGGCAGGCTAATCGGTAGCTGACTGGGACATGGCAGACTGAAGTTATGTTTCCCTTTGATTCTGAGCTAAGATTTTCTGAAAGGTCTGACTTTCTTATCTACATGTAATGGATAATTTTTTTGCAGGAGGAAAAAGGATTTTTACGCTATGTAAATTGCTCAATTAAAATCAGTCACTGTAAACCAAACAGGCATAGGTAATCAATTTACACCCATTGATATGCTACAGTACTGTCACACTCTGTTTAAAATAAGGAGCCTAGAAATTTCCATTTAGTATTTTACCCCTTGCAACCTGTCTTGGAGAGATATTTTACAAGATCTGATTAACATAATTGTGTATTTCATTATTTTCTTTGCTGCTAAGTTTTCTTATATTAATGCCAATTATCTAAATCCCATCTTTGACATGGACTGAACATGCAGATGGACAAATTTTTCAAGGTTTGCAGACAAACATACAAGGAAATGTGACTAGACTAAGGGCATGTGAATTCCTCTTTGACTTGTAAATAAATCATTTAAGGAAAGGAAGATCCCAAAGTAAACTCCACTTTGCTTGCATAATTGTCCTGTTAAGATTACAGGCAAGATGGCTTTTTATATCTGAGGCCTGACCCAAGATAGATAAATCAATATCATTTCGTGTTAAAGAATCCTCTCATCTCCTTCCCAAAACCTATTTACAGGACAAAGTGGATAACATTTCTAACAATATCAGCACTGTACACAAGCAAGTGAATTTTAGCCAAGCATTCTCTGAGGTAACTCATTATAAATCAATATATTCTTCCTCATGGTGATCATATAATTTCACCTCTAAGGAGTAAGTAAGAAAAGCATGTGGAATTTAAGGCATTTGTTAGGGTTCTTATTCTGACTTTTTAATATAATAAAACTGTTTATCCTGAATCAGGGAAAGTGATGGTCAGGAACCAAAATTTTTTTAGATGAGTCACCATTTTGGGTTACAATCTTCAAATCAGAATTTCCAAGGAGGATAACCTGAGTGTGTTGCTGAGGTCACACATTTTCTGGTTTGACTGTAAAACCCATGAATAGTCATTGCAGTTTTGATGGAGACTGGAAGAGTTAATACCTCTAACAGGAATCCAGAGAATTCAATTTTTTCATTCAAGCCATGTAGGAAAGTCAGGTCAATTAAAAGGCATTTTGGACTTCAGTCACTTGATGGATTGGCTGTATAGTGTTAATGTATATTTTGTATGATTGATGTGGCTGACATATTTACCTGTCAAGCATGTCTATCTCTTTGCACAGCTATAGGAACCAAAGATTTAGCAAAAATATGTGAAGTCAAAGAATATTCAGATTTATGGCTCACTTTGTTTGCCAATGAATTTAATGTTAAAATGATAACCAAAGACAACTCAAGGGACCTTTCAAAAGAAACTGAGGTAGTTTGCCATTCACAGTGATCAAGCAGGGTTGCATTTTTCTCTGCATGTTGACTTCGTGGTTTGAAGTCAATCATCATCAGTGATCAGAAAACATCTTCCTTCAGAAATTTTTAAGCAGTATTGCTCACATTTTGTCCTCTAATTCCTTTACTTTTTAAAATGTGCATTATAAGTTTTGGTAGCTCCCAATATTTGTATACAATGTAAACAGGCCTAATAAAAGCATGTCTTAATTTATAGAAGAAATACTGTTTCATGTAACTTCCACTATCTATTGAAACTGAAATAACCATTGCTGGTGTACACTAATTAATCCTCCCTCCCTCCCTCCCTCCCTCCCTCCCTTCCTTCCTTCCTTCCTTCCTTCCTTCCTTCCTTCCTTCCTTCCTTCCTATGACTTATAGTAACTTCAAATATTTCCTCCCTCCTTGATGTTTTATTTTTCACTCCCCACTACCCAAAAGAAAAAG